CTGGCAACTAGTGACATCCTGTTCTTGTTACGCTGAATACTACTATGAACTCTGCTAGCTGCGAGTATGGCCAGAATTATTTTCTTAGTAGATGTGAGAACTACTTGTTTTTTCTGGACAAGAAATCTTTCTAGGTATCTGGGGAAAAAAAAGCCTGTTTTGCTACATTGCATTAGAAGACTAGTATGAGGCCCCAAAACTGCTGAATTGCTTCTGGAAAAGTCACCTTCCATGTTTGTTTTTTTTTTTAGCAGAGTTCAGAGAGCTCTCTCTTGGCAGTCAGACAGGTCTGCTGACAGGCTGTGGCCTGCATGTGTTTACGGACTTGGCGTTTGTTTCATATGTATGCAAGTCATGATTGACAGTTGCAAGTTTAGTGGAGACACTTTACTCCCAGACGTAGGCTTTACTGCCCAGATGTAAGAGATTAAACAATCGCATCTTTTCAGACACAGTCATCTCGTTGACCAAGGCTGTAACAGCTTGCAAGAGATCAGGCATCTTGCCTAGTGGTCAAGCAGAGTCATACCTAGCAATACCCCCCCACACACACATTTTAATGACAATAATTTGTGACTACAAAACAAAGGGTAGTATCTCCTTGCAGAAGCCAGGAAATCGCAGGCTTTCAGACTGAGTTACTTCTAGAACCAAAGTATGTCTTAGTGAAGGTTTAAACTTCATTTTTAACTGTGAAAGAAGTCTGCAAGTGTTGGATGTAAGCTGCCATGAACTTGCTCATGAAACTTGAGTTAGTTGAGCTAATGGACATGTTAACTGGTGTGGTGTTCTTTCCCATAACAGTGTAGTGATGCTGTCTGGCCTTGCTTTTGCAACTAGTACTTTACATGAGTGTTGTATTTGCTGATTATGAGCATGTACTTACAGTGTTATCTGTCTCCAATTCTTCCCAGATGCCATGAAGTACACTATTGTGGTGTCTGCCACAGCATCTGATGCAGCACCCCTGCAGTATCTGGCTCCCTATTCCGGCTGCTCCATGGGGGAATACTTCAGAGACAATGGAAAGCATGCGTTGATCATCTATGATGACTTATCCAAACAGGTCAGGAAACATTGTTTGTAGGCCTTGTAGTCTAGCATTGGAGTTTGTTAGCTGTAAGGTCACCTCAGGTGTAGAAATTCAAAATTTTAAATGAGCTACTGAATCTCAAAGCTTGCTTTATACCACACAGGCTGTTGCCTATCGTCAGATGTCTCTGCTGCTGCGTCGTCCACCCGGTCGTGAAGCCTACCCAGGTGATGTGTTCTACTTGCACTCTCGCCTGCTGGAGAGAGCAGCCAAAATGAACGATGCCTTTGGAGGTGGCTCTCTGACTGCCTTGCCTGTCATCGAAACTCAGGCTGGTGATGTGTCTGCTTACATTCCAACCAACGTCATCTCCATCACTGATGGACAGGTAGGGCTTCTTACACTTCTGTGTAACTTGTGGCAGGTCTCTGAGGAGGTTTCCGACCAAGCTAATAAAACAATTTTCTCCTACAGATTTTCTTGGAAACTGAGTTGTTCTACAAAGGTATCCGTCCAGCCATCAACGTTGGTCTGTCAGTGTCCCGTGTAGGTTCTGCTGCTCAGACCAGGGCTATGAAGCAGGTAGGCATGAAACTGTTGCTCCTCCTCTTGCTGGAGACAAGTAGTGTGTGGGCTTTCCAACCCATTTCACTCTAAAGGCCTGTGAATAGAGTGGGAATAAAGCTTTGTATTCCTTTGTGTTACGGAATTGTAAAAGAACAAGCTTTGGGGATCTCTGATATTTCTATTGCCTGCTGAGAGGCAGAGGAAGAAAGGAAAATAGTATCAGTATGAAGTTGTAGCACTGTTAAGTTTCAGTATACTGAACTGGGGACGGATCCAACTAGAAATAGAGAATGTTGTTTTAACTCCGTACTTCTAGTCCAGATACGGAATTACAGGTTTAATATCAAGTCTCACCATTTTAGGGAGGAATAGCACACCTATGTTAAAAGGCCAAGCAGATGGTGGGATTTTTAGAAATGCATATAATCATCTGTCAGTGTTGAGATTCACTTGACTTGTGACAACTGTCACCTGAAGATAAGCTACAAACTACTAGACTCATTTAAAAACTGGTCGATTTCAGTGTGACCTGTGGATTGTGTTGTAGGTGGCAGGTACGATGAAGCTGGAATTGGCTCAGTATCGTGAAGTAGCTGCCTTTGCTCAGTTCGGCTCTGATCTGGACGCTGCCACACAGCAGCTGCTGAACCGCGGCGTGCGTCTGACAGAGCTCCTCAAACAAGGGCAGTACGGTGAGTGTCTTGGGTGTAACAAGGCCACGTTTCTTGTGCTAACGAGTATGGTCTTTATGGCAGCATTAAGGTACTTGGTGGACATGGGAAATGCAGATTGACTTGAAACACGTTGTGTATGTGCAGTTGATCTTCAAAAGAAGGACTCTCTGATGTAAGAGTTACCAGATGGCCTGAACGCTTTTTTTTTTTAATGCAGTTCCCATGGCTATTGAGGAACAGGTTGCAGTCATCTATGCTGGTGTGAGAGGTCACTTGGACAAGCTGGAGCCCAGCAAAATAACGAAATTTGAGAGTGCTTTCCTAGCTCATGTACTGAGCCAGCACCAGGCCCTCCTCTCCACGATCAGGTATGAGGATTTCTCTTACTTCATCCCACGGGTGCTGAAATGGCAGCTGGAGTGCAGGTGATGGTCACTGAACCCCGTTGATGTAGTTTTATCTTAGAGCATCAGCTGCCTGTACCAGAACTGGAGGTTAAATCGGCCTTCGGCTGTCCAGAGCTCAGCTTCTTGTCTCCAGTCTTGACTTAGGAAATCCAGCTGATGCTTAAAACGCACCTGCTTGAATACCCCTCCTAATTTCATACTGAAATAATTTAATTTAGTCAGTTCCTATATTTTTGATAGCTTTTAGCTGTTACAGTACCGTGGATTAAATGCTGCTCGCTGCATTCCCTGCTGCTGAGCGGACGGTTGGGGACTGAGTGTTTCTGCTGTCCTGTCCTGTCACCTGGTCCTAGCTTGTTCTGTCGTGAGTCACATCACGTGCCGTCTCTCTCTGAGGCAGAGATAGAGCCTTGTTGAACTATGCTTGCCTGCTTTGAAAGCGTTTGTTGACAAACCTGAGTTCCTGAACAGGACTAACCTTTTTGAGAAGGGATGTTACATTTGTTTCAGTGGTATAGCTGCTTCCTGCGTCAAACAGAAATGTGTTGATTCATTAATAATGCTAATTTTGTTAGAAACTGGAAGGTTTGTTGTGAACTTTTTCTTTGCCTTAGCCAGGAGTTACCTTATATCTGTTCCTGCATCTGAAGTTCAACTAAACTCTTTCAACAGGACCGAAGGGAAGATCTCTGACCAGACAGAAGCTAAGTTGAAGGAAATAGTCACAAGTTTCCTGGCTACTTTTGAGGCATAAACTCTTAAAACTCTTCAAACACACCAGGCTGTTGTTGTGATCCCATGCTCCAGCTCCATCAAAGACTTCAAAATATGTGCGACTTGAATGTACAGATCTCAGTGAGAATAAAAGTTTCCATGTGAAAAGGCTTGTATATTCTGTTCTAAATTATTGCTTCTTGAGCAACACGTGCCTTTAAAAAACACAAACTCCCCTGGACACACTCTTACTAAAAGAACTCTGAAAAATGAGGACAGCTGCACATGTAGCTGTTGGAGTAGTGACTGCTAGAGATTTAGATGACTGGTTCTGTCAGTAGACTGTCTGCAGCCGTTAATGGTTTGGGAGGAGGGCATATCCCAGAGCATCTGTTTAATTTCCTGACTTTCCGAGGTTTTCCCAGTGTTAGAATTTCTATCTGGGATGCGGGAAATCTCAGTTTAGAGTCGCTCCATTTCATGTGTGTTCAGCTTTACCTGCTACACCGGAACTCAGTCCTTCATCCCTGCTGAGCTGCTGTGCTGCAGTCACCTCTGATCAGGGCTTCTGTTGGGGTTATTCTCTGTCCCCACTTTTGGCTGCCCTGTGTCACTTGTCCCATCCAGGACAGCTTGATATCTTCCACTGTGACTAAAACCCCGTTGGTGCTTCTGTGCCATGCCTTAACCGTGTGCTACTAGAAAGCGTCAAGCTCAGAGTGTCTTAGTCTGAAATTTTGCAGATATGTATTTGTTTCTAGGAACAGAAGAGAAATACTCAGAAGTTCTGATTTCTGTGCTGTTGCTGTGGCATAGGGAGGTGACAATTTCCTCTTTAATAAATTGGAAATTTATTCCAGAACACACACTTTGGAGTTTTTTGTGTGCCTGCAGCTGAGCAGATTGTACCTCAACTGACAGATGGTTGGTAAATCCTCCTCAAAGCTTTGCCCGAAACCTTTCGGATCTAAAGCACTGATGTGACACCACCTCTTGCTGTGGGGACAGGAACTGCCGCCACAAACGCTGAAAGCAAAATCCACGCAAGCTTCCTTTCATCGGTATAAACCTCAGAAACGTTTGCCAAGTGGCAGCTCACAAGTGAGCAGATTTAATTCACTAAGCGGAAAATACCTTTTTTGAAATCCCAGGACTGTTAGCTGTCCCAGTCTTACAGCAGAGGCAGCAGGTGTGATTCAGGCTTTCCAGCACACAGTGTCCTGTGTTCTCTGCTTTCGTATTTTTTTTGTAAAGCTGCTCTGAGGTTGCTGGACAGTGTCCCCTAATCAACTGCGGATGGTGAAACTTCCCCAAAATACTCCACCAACCTCTCCCTCCACACCGTGTTTCCTTCGTGAAACCATCGTGTTTGCCTGTCACCAGTGGGTTTCTCCCACGGTGACACCGTCCCTCGCACCCCCACCGACCCCCCGCCTCTGCCGTGGGACCCTCCGCAGCATCACGCCCCGCTCCCCAGACCCGCTCCACGCAGGAGGTGGGTGGGTATAGCCGTGCCGATTGCGGGTGGGTAGGGACTGGGTGGGGACGTCGCGTCGTGGGGTGGGACCGGTGGGACAGGGCGGCCCCGGGAGCGGCAGCGGCGGCATGCGGGAGGCGCGGTTCAGGGACCACTTTTGGGTGAGTTTGGAGGGGACACGGTGAAGCTGGGAGGG